GCATGCGCTGCACTAGATGCTGCTGCTGCGTATGTTGCAGCAGCTGTTGCAGCTGCTGATGTTGCGGATACCGTTGGCGTTGGCGCCGCAGCCGCTGCTCCTGTTGTTGAGAATGTATCTGAATATTCTAGATACAAAGACACTGCAAAAGCAGGAGAAGAAGGCAGCAGCAGCCTCTCTCCGTCTTCAGCGCCAAGACACGCAGCAAAGAGTGCAGCGAGCGACCGCCTCTCAATCGCAGGACTTGGGGCCCCCAGGGGCCTCAGGAAACCCGACAGCCACTAATAACAAAGTCCTGAAGGGTTATTTATCGATTAAAGAGGAGAGAAAGCGGCAACTGCAGAGGGTGTTGCAGAGCAACCCCACCACAGGATCAGCGCAGCTTGGGAGGGGCCCCTAGAAGGCGCCTCTTGTAGAAGCCTGCTGCCCCGCTTAATTAGGGGGCAATGCAGCTCCTAAATAAGTCATAAAAAACAAAAAAGGAGAGAGAGGGGTATACATGGGGCCCCCTAGACACCACAACCAGCCCTAAAGGGTTTCGCTGCAGGGCTGGCAGGGCCTCCCACCGGGCCCATCGGCTGTCTATGGAGCTGAGACGATACAGCACTAACTAAACTGCATGCAGATAAATATAGTAATAACAATATATAATATTAAAAACAACAGATGGTGTTGGCATCGTCTGCTTTCTAGAGCAGCTGAGCTTCAGCTGGTGCCGTGTATACGGCGGGGTTGACAGGGGTAGGGAGGAAAGCTGCACAGAAGAAGGCAGCGCGAGTACAGTGGAAATAATATATCTTTACTTTTGTTTTTTTTATATTTGAATTCTAATGTTTTTTTCAATGGGTTTGTTGTATTTTGTTTATATTAAGTGCTTACTGTGGCTATCCACACAAGTGTACTAGCGTCATCCTCACCAGCCATAGTGCGGAGCGACGGCACCGTATGTCCGTACCAGACGGCGAAAATATAAACTTTCAAGCAAATTAAACAAATAATACAAAAATAAAGAGAATAAAAACACAAGTTTAGTCCTTAAATCCTTTATTATACAGCCAGAGGCCCCTCAGCAGATAGCAACAAATACCCAGCATCCCCGGGCCTCGTCGCCC